AACTCCATCGCACTCGACTTGTGTCATCCCCACTCCCGTCATCCACGATAATAATTTCATACAGGAAATCCTTCTCTCGCTGCGTCCGGTTGTCCAAGTATTCCACTGTCTCTTTCAACATACTCGGAAGTCGGGCTGTCTCTTTATATGCTGGGACAATAACTGAAAGGGATATGCGCTTGCCGTTCACATATTGTGGTTCACTGAGGAGGGAGGGAAAGCGTGTACGGGTCCCAGTGCCAGCATCAAGGTAGTAGACCTCATTCTCAGTCGCAGGTCGCGGACGGGGAGAGACGATATAGAGAGCTACCACGAGGATACCCAAGAGAACGACAGCGAGTACACTTAACTCTGCCGGAACGGTCAGAGTTGAGACGATGCCCATTATGGGCGTCCGTAAGCTTGGAGGAGGGCCGCAGTGGAACGGTACCGAGTTGATGACACTTGCTGTGCATGGTATCCATAGTTACAACCTGGTGCTGACCAAGACCCATTAACTGCGACAACCGCCAAGATCTGCAGATGATGCGAGATGTATTTATACCATCTGTGCTTCGAAGTCTTCTTGCCCGTCCTTCACACGCCGTCTACTCCCAAGTTTGCCTTCCCACACTCTCAAGAGCCGTACGCAGCAGGGTCCTTACCGCCCGCCTTTCCTACGGATATCTTCGATCGATTATTGCCCAGTTATCGGATAGGAACTGTCAATAAATTCAATAAATCGAGTAAGATAAAATTAAAAAAGGAGAGTCAGCTTCCTAAAGGTGGTGGAAAGGCGTTTTGCGAAAATCATTCTGAACTAGGGCCGGACGCATCCTCCGGGAGTGGTGCAAAAAGCCCAAGCGAAGGACCTTGCCACCGTCGTCGGACACGACAGTTCCCATCTGCTGGGCATAGTGTCGCAGATTGGAGAATTGGAACTTTGACCATTGAGTGGTACGATATGTTTGATGGCGCCACCAACAAAGGTGCAGGTGCCTCCGCAGGCGAACCTCGAACACCAAAAGCGTCGCAGCCAACGCGTGAGGGAGGGGGCAGCTCCACGTTGATCACCGAGACAGCTGCGGTGACCAGAGCAGATACGGAAAGTGCTGCTACCCGTAATAATGAGCTACCTGGATGTTCTCGAACAGAATTCCTGGAAGAGGACCATGCGCTCCCATCACGTCGGCAACGAACACGGTCCGCGAAAAAGAAACAAAAAGCTCACACGATTCCGACAAGCGGTGCATTCATTCCCTTCCGTACGGGAACCACTGAACTCAACGCTGGAATCTTGCATCTTTACCGAGAACGCGCAGATGTTGAGGATATTCTTCATCAGTCTGCTATCCCCCTGCAAAGTGACCCGTCGACTGAACGTCTAACACCAGAGGAAATGTCTTCTGTCAAGGGAACTGGCACAATATTGTGTGTCTTGGCTGTACCGTCCTACATGACCGCGCAAGATTTTCTCAACTTTGTAGGGCCACTTCGTGATGAGATGAGCCATCTGAGGATCGTGAGAGACTCGCTACCTAACCGATATATGGTGCTCATCAAGTTTCGGGACGCACAAGGCGCTGAACGGTTTTACAAGGACTACAACGGCCGGGAATTCAGTTCCCTCGAGCCTGAGATGTGTCACGTTGTCTACATCAAATCGATCGAATTCAAATCCCGGGCCATTCCGCCCTACGCATTCCCTCCGCTTCCAGATGATCCCAGTACATTGTTTTTGCCGACTAAGGTGCCCCTTAGTCCGGCTAACGCAGAAGTCAGCGCCTCTCCAAATTCCGGATCTCCTTCAAGCACCTACAATATCCCAAGCGATGTGGCAGAGGCAGGAGAGCCTAGAACATCACCCTATGCCACAAGTCCTGCCAAGTCCCCCACTCTGATGACAACAAATCAACTTCTGGAGCTTCCAACATGTCCGGTCTGCTTGGAGCGGATGGACGCATCGGTGACCGGCCTGTTGACCATTCTATGTCATCACACCTTTCACTGCCATTGTTTGTCAAAATGGGGGGATTCCTCATGCCCTGTTTGTCGATATTCTTCAAAAGTCTCATCGTCGCTTGACTCTGACGACGACATGCGAAACGAGTGCATGGACTGTGGCTCCACGGAGAATCTCTGGATCTGTTTGATATGCGGAAACATTGGATGTGGGAGATACCAGGAGGCGCACGCGCAGAATCATTTTGCGGATACTCAGCATACCTACTCAATGGAGCTCGAGACACAACGAGTATGGGATTACGCCGGAGATGGATATGTGCATCGCTTGATACAAAACCGTACGGATGGTAAACTGGTAGAATTGCCCGCTCCCAATCGCACGCACTCGTCTGAATTTGGCGAGAACTTGAACGGAAGCGGAGGTGGGCGGGCAGAAGTGGGTGGGATGGTTACCACCGAAAAGATGGAGTCCATCGGGTTAGAGTATACGTATCTCTTGACGTCACAACTTGAGTCGCAGCGATTATGGTACGAGTCGCGCTTAACGCAGATAGAGACCGCTCTGACGCAGCAAAGCTCTGAGCTGACGGGGGCATTAAGTCAAATGCAAGCTGAGCGAGATAGTGCTGTAAAATCACGTGATGATCTTCAGGCACAGCTTACGCGTGCAGAGAGAGACAACCGTGCCCTTCATAGTCGGTTGACCAAGATTCTGGACCGCGTTGTTAGCAGCGAAAAGGATCTCAAAGAAGAGAGAGCCTTAACGAAATCCCTGCTGGCAAATCAAACGTTGTATCAAACCAAGATTGCATCCGCGGAGCAGACTGTGCGTGAGAAGGACGCTGATATAGCAGATTTGAAAGAGCAAGTCCGGGACTTAATGGTCTTTTTGGACATGAGAAAGCAGGTAGAGGATTCCGGAGTTGGCGAGGTAAAAGGCGCTCAAGTGGTCGGTGTAGCTCCCGCCCCTCCCACCCCAGGACCAAAACGGAAGGGCAAGGGAAAGAAATGACGATGGAGAGTGGGGGTACGCCCCGAGAATGGGCTTGCATAATTGTAGATACTAATTCATACTTGTATAATACAACATCGGCGATCAGATTCTGGTGCTATACTATAAATGCTGAGCACAGTCACAATAAGATACATAGGGCTGCCGACTGAATGCTATTCACGAAGATTTAATCAATCTTTAACTGGATCCGTAGCTACATCCTTCTAGGGAATGCAGCTTTGCAAGGCGATCGACGTGGTGCTGGCCATCAAATGCCGTAGTTAAAAATGCAGCAACCATTTCGTTTGCCACATCCGGACCTGTCGTTCTTGCCCCGAGTGCGATCATATTCGCGTCGTTGTGCTATTATATGCACGTTATTGGACACGTCGGCCAATCGCTGATTTGCATCAAATCCCTACCCTTCTCGCCATGACAGCAGTAAAATGATCGTGACACAGAGCACATCGAATTCCCTTGACTTTATTCGCCGCAATAGAAATCCCAATGCCAGAGCCGCAGATCAATATTCCAAGTTTTCGCTCTGTGTCATGATACACCAATATATTGGTCAATGAATAGAAAAAGCTGAGTTCAAAATCCAAGAAAGCTCACCATATTGTTTATGCTTCGCAAGAACCTGCTCGGCAGCAATACTAGCATAGTCTGGGTAGTCGCACTGGCGCGCGACAAGTCAGATATCGATATCAATCCCCACTATGGTCGGTTCTTAACAAGCTGCGGCATGCTAGGTCATACCCGGGTCGTATCGTGAGGTCCTACATCGGTAATATCCCAACCGTCACTTGCGGGGTTGGTCGAGAGGAACTCAACAATGTTGCTCTTCATTCCGACCCCTACGTGATCGGAGGCGAGTACAATAAGGCCCTTCGCTGTGGGGCTTTTCTTATAATGCCGAAACTCCAAAGTAGTCATCTTGTTCGTTGTGAAATATTATTAGAACCCAACCCAATTCTGTGACATACAGTACTGTCGTCTCTATAGCAACAGCATGTAGTTGGGTGCGCAGCAAATGGATTCACCACCATCCTTCCTTGCCCTGCTTCCAAATGTTCCGGTCAACACTCTCTGTCGCTTCGCTTCGACAGTTGCTGGCCAGAAAATCAGTCATCACAATTGCGAGTCAACGGCACGTTAGCCGCTCTGCTTTTCTAAACTCTTTTTTGAACGAGACCCCGAAAATGCCTGGCCCCATGTACAGCAGAATAGAAGAAAAGGTACAAGGCAAACTGTACAGCCTGTAGGACGGTATTAGTTCATATCATATGCCAATATAATTCATGATTCGGTCATCTTCGCAAATATTAGCTCCGAACCGCACTGCAGCCCACGACACTGGAAATAGTCGATGACAGTGCCAAGCACAAGGGTCATGCTGCGATGCGCGGAGTAACAGGAGGGGAGACGCATTTTAGGTACTCAATCAGACACATTGGCTGAATGATCCGCTCGTCTACGAATGTGTGTTCCCTTTTAATCAATGAATTTCACCATATGCAGGGTCACGGCAGTCTCACCAAAGTTTGAGGGAAAGGTAGGATCTATGCCGTCCACATTGAAAACGATTTGATGGCCCATGCAAAAAATTGAGATTCCTTCTAATTGCTTCTGCTTCTTTATACGCAGCCAGCGGTTCAGCGACACAAGGTAGTCATCCTTATAATCCTCATTCATCTGAGCTCTCATGAAGTATGGCTAAACCTGAAATCTTCTTTTAGCTGGTATATGAAATTCTGGATCAAGAACTCAAAGATGGAGTTCATGCACTATCAATCACAGCAAAGACGCCCGCCGAGTATCAAAAATTGCAAGGGTCCTAGACATAGACCGCTCATATCAACATATATTCATATCCATCCATTCTGGTTTTGCATAGTAGACATTAAAAATGGGTGGATGTCTTTCCGTGTAGTTGCACTGTGACCATCGCCATGACTTCCACAGCCTCTCCCACCGATCGGTTGACCATTCCCATTTCTCGATTCAAAGTGATATATACGATGGTTTATTACGTTCCAACAAGGTTAACAGTTTCTACAAGCGTTAGTCCCGCCCTTAACCGGCCCGATCCCATCGTCGTCGCAATGGAGAAATCCAGTATGTGTCGTATCTAATGAGATTCTCTACGCTTTCGCCGGCACTGTTGCGTCCTTTCCCTCCGCCTTTCGCTGCTTTTCCTTTTCGTATTCTTCTTGCACAATTGACAATCGAAGAAGCTAGAACACAAAATCAATTCATGTTTCTGGTCAAAATATAGGATTGGGCCCCCCAACGTTCCCTTCTCTCTCTACAGGTGCCGTGAGCTATATAGCACTTAATTCTCACGTCCACAGTTCAGCCAAGCGTGGCTGGAGTCACTGCGTCTAACTCCCCTATATATGTTGGATACACACCTCTTTACGATGGTACAGGCACTCTTGATAGTCTTCAAATTGGTTTGTACATTCTTTGCGTGGCGAGTCACTTTGCACGTAACACTTTGCAAACTCTTGCCAGAAGGGGAAGCACCTCCCTCGCCCACCGTTCAGGCCGAATCCAGACGACATGGTTGACCAACAAGTCTATTTCGTAGGATCGCAACGTGGAATAACGCCGAGAGCGTGTCTCCTCATTATGTTGGGTCAACGGCAACCATGGAAACGCGGGCCGATGGCACCAAGCCTCGTCTGAGTTGCTCTTCTTTCCCGGCGCATTTCACACATCAACACTATTCCCTGCAACATGGTAACAACAAGAGATATCGTACTCGGCACTGCGGCTGCGGCAGCTGTCTGTGGAATAGGCTACTTGATCTACTTCGACCAGAGGAGACAAAGAGATCCCGCGTTCAGGAGAAAGCTGAGTACGTCGAGATCCCTTTTCCCCCACCATGTCACCTCGGCAGAAGTTCTGTTTTCTTTACCATTAAGATTGTGCGTTGTTAATATTGGTATCTCTGGCCATATTTTGCTGCTGGCACTTTTAGGAAAACAACGAAAAGAAGTGGCCAATGCAAAAGAGGCCGATGCAGCAGAGGCCAGGTTACGCCAAAAAGCAGCGGCCGCTGCTGCAAGTGCCGCCGGAGGAGGCTTCGATCTTGATGAACCTATACCAACTAGTCCACAAGAGCGAGGAGAATACTTCATGAAGCATTTGCAGATGGGAGAAGCGTTACTGGCTCGAGGTAAACATTGATGCTTACAATATTTATGAATGGCGGGAAGCTGACTGCGTTGTTCGATTAGGTCCTCAAGCTTATGATGTAGCCGCAAAATGCTTCTTCAAAGCACTTCAGGCATACGCTGAGCCAATGAACCTGTTGATGGTCCTTCAGCAATCGGTGCCTGAGCCTGTGATGAACACTATCATGGAGCTGTACGCCGCTGATGTAGGTGCGGGGGCAGGGCCAGGGGCACGACAGGGACCAACCTTGACGGAGGTTGAAATAGAATGAATGGCGTATGGGGGGAAGGACTGTGCATAGTGCTTGGCATTTAGTGTTTATAGGTAGATGGCATATTCTAACACGAGAATCTGTATCATTTTCATATTCCTGCCCTCAATATTACTTATTGCCCCATCTCGGTGGATCATAGCTGAAGCAGCATCAACAAGAATGTGGGTAACGTGTTTCGCCAGGGTCGCACTGTTAGCAATTGAATCGTCTGACATCGCTCAATGACAGACTTCAACCACTTCCCGCCTCAGAGTATGAACGTGAAAGTGAAGGAAGTCCAGCAGGGCACTACGCCTGACGGAAAGAGAATTGTACGGAGAGGTCTGAGTGTCATAAAGGACGTGGCGGTTGGGGAGGAGATTTATCGAGAGCGACCAATTGTCTCAACCCAGTATCTGACCAACGTCGGTACCATGCGTAATTTGACCGGAAGCTACTTGAATGTAAAGCTTATATTGCTCTCAAACCCCAGGGCAAACTGTGCGGTTATTGCCTTAAATCCCTCGATCGCGCTGACGGTGTGATTCCTTGTGAGAATTGCCAGGAGGAGAACTACTGCTGCGATTCGTGTCGGGATTCAGCGAGAAAAGAATTCCATGGCATCCTTTGTGCTGCAGACCCCACAACTAGTGAAGCATACAAGAAGCTCTTGGAGCACTGTTCGGAGAAACACACGAAGCTCCCGCTCCTGGTTGCTAATTTCCTAGCAAAAATGGTGTACGAAGAAACGGTAAAGCCCGAGGAAGGGACAGAAAAACCCAAATATTCGACGTGGGGTAAGGGACTACTGCCACGGGTCTTGTAGTTCATTTGGCTCACGAGATGTTTGGGTAGACCACTTGGAGCGTCTCTACGACTTGAAGTTGAAGCCTACCGAGGAAGATCAACAAGAAGTAGCACTGATCAAGCAGGTTATTGGCAACAAGGTGCCCGGATTTGATGACTGTACGTTTACAGATATGTGAAGTTTCCTCCCACGCTCCCTCATACTTCCCTCCTTTCCAGTCCTCACCGAAGATCGATACGTCTTGATCAAAGGCAAGATGTCTTACAATGCATATGCTGTTGCAACCGGAAGCCAGGCGACTCCTGTGCTTAACAGCGATCCTGTCCGCGGAGCCTTCGCCGCGGACCAGAAAACCGGAGTTGGTTTATATCATGTGACAAGCTTGATTGCTCATTCCTGCGATCCAAATGTGGATACCCAATATCAAGACGGTACCAATGAGCTTACCTTGGTTGCCAAGAGCGGCCTAAAAGCCGGAGACGAGCTTTACGTTAGCTACATTGTTCCTGATGGCAAGGAGACCAAGGAAAGGAGAAAGGAATTGAAAGAAAAGGTGCGGGCCCAGACATGGCGTTGTGACTGTATATGGCTCACTGACTTGGTTACAGTATTCATTTCATTGCAAATGCACCAAATGCACCTCCTCCATGGATCTTCTCGCTGAAGGCGGGGCTGGCAATGACGAGGCCCTCGACGTGACGCAAATGACGTCCGTTACAGCAATCATCAACGACGATGACAGTGTCGACGTTACTGCTACCCAAGTGACGACTGTGGTAGATAGTACTTCTACTTCTCTCGGTGAAGACGGTGTTTCTCTCGAAACCGAGATAACGACCCTTGAAGGGGACGGGACATCCGTGACACTGAAGACAACAGAGCTCGCTGTGCTTGAAACCGTGGATGAGAGCTCCACGGGTTTGGTTTAGTCGACTATTGGTTGAAACATTTTAAGGGCGATTTCCACTTTGGAGTTGCGTGTATATTTCTTTAGCATGCGCTTGGCATTGATGCATATTTCCTGTTGCAAATAGCATATGGTTTCATCCCACATACATGATAATGCTAAAATCGTCAATTCTGCGCATTCTCAATCGAAAGTGTTCTGAACTTCTTTCCGATGAGAGCCATGAGCTCCCTCTGATTCAAGTCAGGATTATCTGCCTTTATGGACACAAAACTTTCCTACAATTTCATGAGGGTAAGCTCCACCGCGACAACCACCTTGAAGCATCCACAACTCACCTTAACAAAGGCAGTAAACCTGTTCTCTTTATACGGCGTCCCATCCTTCCGGATGCGCTCTGGTTTCAGCAAAATCAGCCGCCCACCACACCGCCCGCATCCGTGGGTCTAACGCAGACCAATGCATCAAGAAAAAAAAATATCAATGCAGCGCAGATCGTCGCTTCATACCTGAACATTGATCGACTTGCTATGACGTCCGTATCTGAGCAAGCCTAGTCAATACCTCGGGAGACCAATCTCGATCAATTACCGTAAGCAACTCACGTTCTCCCACATTCATCTTTGATGCATTGATATTGGTATTTGCAGGCAATATCGTATGAATGACATGTCGTCACTTTAATCTGTGGGTATAAACATTCGGCGCGTGCGGCCCTTCGCGGTCCATGTGAGAACTTTGCAATTGTCCGTGAACGCACGACATCATATGCCGTACCAATATTTAAAGACCTTCCCATGTGGCGGAGTAGAAACCTTGTTCAAGATCCATTGTGCAGCCTAAAAAAGGTCCGTCTGAGATTAAGAAAGCGAGTCACGGCATCCTTGTGACATTGTCATACATGGCACATTTCGTGTATCAACGTGCTCTGCAATCTTCCTACGAGATGAACATAGGTTGATTTCATCTCGTAACTCAATAGATGGAGAGATCACGTACCAATGTCATCGAGGACCTTCATTGAAAGCTCTATACTGGCTACGTGCTCGAGTTTGCCATTCCTTAGCTCCCTGAGGATGCGTCGTCAGTGGAAATGTGTTGATGTTCCTATTTGTATGAGTGACGTACGTACTTCTTCAGGAATGTGCGGCCAGCTGTCGTGCGCAAATGCTTGGACCACACTAAACCGAGATCAGAAGGAAGTCTCGACTCGAAGATTTCGCGATTATATTCCTGAAACAGTTGCTGTGATAACGCTACTCGCTGTCTTTTGAAAGCTGCGTTTGGGGTACCAAGGCCTGCATTGAACGGCAGTTTGAGCGAATGTCAATGGCCGTGCATGCAATCGATACATACATGCCAGATTGGACGGCGTAAAAGGTCGACGGCCAAGTGGCGTTCTTTTCGGGGTATCTAAGGCGTCAGTTGACGGCTCCCATACATTGACCAATGGTTGCAGCTTTCGCGGCGTGCCATCGCTGAAGGAACACAATTAGATGAGCATCATGCCGAAGAACAAGGCAGGCAGAGCTCACAAGACGAGGATCCCACGTTCGCTGTCGTCCGAGTCATCCCACTCCACTTCATCTGCAGTTCTGTATAAGCACATTTGCAGACATAGATCATTGTTCCGCACAATTTTCCCACCTGCTGGTTCGCTACCCTCAACAGGTTGAAAACCCATGGGAGTTCCTCTCGCGTCGGTCTTCACTAAATTTGTTGGAATATATTAGCACTTTCTATTCAGCTTTTGACCGACATCACGCCGGGTTCAGGGTGACAGTAACCAAACTGGAATTGGCACTAAGCGTACCTGGCTCGGGGGTTTCCGGTTTCATTTGGATTCCTGACGGATCGTGTGGGTCGTGACTGTGAGACAGCGGATGCCTTTCGGTCGTCCTCTCCGCCTCCAGTTTGTCCCGTAAGGAGGTGGGTCCATTTGTCGGTTTCTGGAATTGCGATGGTTGTTCATCTGACGTGCCATCGTTGCGGATTTCTGGAGCCAGCTCATCCATTGCACCGCCGGGAAGTTGAGAAGAAGGCTCACGTGGAGAACCTACACCATCATTCCCAATGCTAAGTCGATTGAATCTGGACAGTAGCGACGTTGGGGAGGGGAGTTCATTGTCGCTGATAGTTCCATCCAGTGAACTTATATCTCTGGAAAAGGACTGACTACTACAGCTGATTGGCGAAATCCCATTTAACGTTGAATCCACATATTCAAATGATGTCCGGCGTTCAGACGTGTCTAAATTGGCCTGCAAAGGAGTCTCGATGGAGGACACACCGTTATCCACAGCTGAATTAACTGTTTAGCACGTTGTGAACTTGGCATTGTGGACATAAGGCAACTTACTGGTCGGATCTTCTTTGTCATGGTGAACCAAGTAAGTTGTTTCAATATCAAACTTCTCGTGTTCGGTACGGAACGGGGTGACCGAACTCCCATTGGGTTCCACAAAGCTTCCCCGTCTGGCGCTGTAGACATCGCATAATGGGCTACCCATAGAATTCATGCTTGGTTCAGCCGCATCACGCAATATGGGATATCGTTTCTCTGAGCGTCCCCGTCTCTTTCGAGTGGTCACGAATTGATCTACCGCAACGAACTTGCATTTGCAAGGATTCGTGGTATCAACAACAGTACAGTCTTACCTTTGATGGGGTACATGGACGCACTCGGTGTTTCAAAAGTCTTGACATTCCTGGGAATCAATGTTTCCATTTCATCAAAGCAGATCTGATCTGCAGCTGTCTTGACAACCACAGGGGTATTGCATATAAAAATATCCTCTCTGCAAGATGTGTCAGAATCGCATGCCACATCTCTAATGTTCTCGGGCTTGTGATGCACAGTGGTATCTAAAAGTGTGTATTTAGGCACATCATCATATTTGCCAATGCTTGACTGAGTCGCCTCTTCCTCTTCTGAGCAAGAGAAATACTGAGATTCGATTGATCCCTCGTTCAATGAAGGCTTGTCAGCCGCATGATCGACCTCGTCAATGTCTGTATCAAAGCCCTCCTTGCAGTCCCCTTTCAGTGTGGTTACTTGGCGGAAGCCCTGCTCTCCCGCACCTGAATTCGTCGTTACTGAGCCCCCGGATATGTCTTGGATACTAGAGCTTTTGTGACCAAGTGAGCGTCCGTCGTCAACAGTAACTTGACTATTCCCGAGTTGCCACCCGCGCGGAATGCTTTGGTGGTTATTCTCATAATCCTTGAGGTCGTCTTCATCTACATGTGCGCCATTATCATGACTTATCGCACGAGATCCAGCGAAAACAGTGCCATCATCGCCTGGGGAGGTGCTCAGCATAATACCACCGTCTTTCTTTTCATCTATCTGTCTTTCTGTATTCCATTCGTCAGCAGTGTCTATTTCGTATTTCTCCTCCTTTAGTACGTCTATGTTGCATTCGTCCTCCGAACTTTGTGTAGGTGGAGGATGACCTTCAACATCCGATCCTTCTTCATTGTCGAAATTGATATTGGGAAGTGATTGCCGCATAAAATATTTCCGCTTCGGATGCGGCAATTCATCAAAGCTGTCCTCTATTCTAAACCGATGCTGTCTCGGGATATTAGTCTTCGTGTCCATATTGCCCGCTCTTTTTGGACCGGGTGTTGGCAGTTGTGCACTACTGGAATTCGAATTTTGCACCGCCGGCGAGCGTAATACAACTTCGCTAGGATCAATCTCCACTTGGGGTTCAACTGCTTCTTCCACTCTCGAATTCTCATGCTCCGCATTCTCGGCAAGCGACGGCACACATTTGTTCAGAGTGTCCTGTAGGCGTTTTGCGTACTGGTTCAACAAAGGAAAGTAGTTTGGATCCAGAAACTGGTACGGATCTTCAAACGGATATGAAGATTCCTCTCGCTCATCTGCTTCTTTTTCCAACTTCAGAAGTTTTTCACATGAGCTGTGAATAGCTGTAACATGGGTTTCCTCTCCATTCATTGTTGACATTCACCTTATACAGTAGGGTTGGCAACCCCGTCCAGTCCCCAAGCTCCAGATGTAGATCCTCAAAATGATTTCGAAAGAAATTCACCAATTCATCCTGCCTCTGAGACCTGCTCGTCACAACTTCCATTCTGTTATTTGGCCGCGTGCATCCATATGCACATGTCGAGTGGAGCTCAGAGAGGGATGTCCAGCTATTCGGATATTCGGACGCGTAGTGGCAAAAGGACTTTGAAGACCCAACCACTATCGACCTTCTCTCTGGCCACCAAGATATCCCTTAGAATTGGGAGACAAAATAATTTTCGATGCATGCAACTGGTGAGTTGATACGTTGCCTCTTCCTGACCTCAGAAAGAATAGATCTATGTTCTCTCCAACCTTACGAATACAAAACATGATCATTTCTTGATAAATTGCGACACTCCTCCTTCTTATTTAAACGCGCCACTGTTCTTCTATCCTTTCCAAAGTTCAATTGTCCCGCGTTGCTATAAGGACGCACGAAACATGCACAAACCACACCGTTATACTAGAACCCGATATTGGATTTTGAGATCTTCGTCCGATAAAGTGGACGCGTTTGCTTACCTGATCATATTTGCACGAGCAACCAGCATACTCACCTCACACCTCACATTATCTTTCAGTTTCGGCTGGTCCGAACCTAAAACGTCAGAAGATTCAGCTAGATTATGGCTGGCCGCCCTGGAGGGATGGTGGCCGCAGGCAGTAGAGGTCATATGAATATACAGCTTTACCAGATAAGAAATGGTGATCACTGATGCCACGAGGAACCTCCACAGATCTTCGTCCCGAAATTGTTACAGACGAACTGTATAATTTGAAGAGTGAAAATCTCAACCTTAAGCGGAAAATTAATGATCAGGATGATAAAACCAAAAAGTGAGATGCTGCCGTCTGCAAATGTAGCTAAAGATGCGTACTTCTTACATCAATATGCCAGGCTCATAACCAAGGTACAAAAACTTACGGAGGATTTGAGACGAGCAAAGGAGCCCTCACTGGGCCCTCAAACCAATGGGAGCGTCGAACGTGGTAGGGTTCTTTTTGCATAAGGCCCTCTTCTTAAGTGAACAATATCAGGCAAACCAACCTCACTCGAAACATTCTAGTGAATCGAAGAGAGATGGCTGAAATGGATGACATGGTGGATGATCTCCGTGGACAGCTGAGAAATATGGCAAAAGAGAATTCCCAACTGAAGACCAAAGTACGTTCTCACTTGGTTCTTATGCTTTTGGTCCGTTATTGATCCTTCCTGTCAGATGAACTTCTTCAAAGCTTTGCACGAGGCTGAGACTCGAAAGGGTGCTAGATACGATCATATACCCCCTCGAATAGATTCAGTGCGTAGGCTGTGTAGACTTGTCCCAAACCATCAGTAAGCAGGAATGCCAACATTTATAAACGTAGGGAGTGCGACGGCTTCATCCAGCCATTGCTGTCAAAGGGTACGTGATCAAGTAATGATTTATGCTATCTGGAATACTACGTGCTTACAAGGCAAATGCATATCGGCAGACGCGGTAGAGAACGGTATCGCCCTACAGGTACAAGGTACTGGACTAGGGCTGACCTGTCTTTGATATTGACTTGCTACTCACGTATCTATCCGTACCAGTACTCCGGCGGAGCCTGATCATAACAGCGAAGAAGTTGCGAAATTGTTGGTGATTTACAGATTATCAATCATCTGACGCAATCAAGCTTAATCAATAAGTTTCTTAATATTTCAGGGAAGAGCTTGTGACAGTACTGCGCGGGAAGCTGAACGATTCCCAACGTGAACTCGAAAGTGCACATGAAGAAAATCAGCGGCTAAAGCAGCAAAACGAAAGGTACGATTGACCACGTAGAGTCTGATACCGAAACCGAATTTTTCATTACGTGCATGTTCTCGTCTAGTCAGGAACAGCAAGCAGATATTGAGCGTCTAGCACTACAACGAGAACATGCTGACCTAAAAAAGCGGTACCAGGAAATCAAGGATAAACACGACACTTTGGATGAGAAATTACGTGGCCTGACTGAGACCTATTACGAGGCCGTGGGAACTGTGGAAGTGTTGACAAATGACCTCAAAGAGGAGAGAAGGAAAAGAACGGATTTGGAGCATCTAGTTAAGGAAAATGAAGCGCAGTCTCGAAGAGAAATGGAGGTACGTTGTTAGCCATTGTGCGGTCATGCTTCCGGTAGAATTCTTATCAAAAGTAATGGTTGCAGCTTAACATCATCATAGATGATCTTCGGTTTGAAAAGAAACTTTTGGAGGAAGAGCAAGCGCGCCTACTGCAGTCTCGTTTTGGATCCCACAGAGAGGAAGAGTACAACAATGAACGACAAATACTCAGAAAACGAGTCGAAGAGCTCGAAACCCAGCTCACGGAAACTTTAAGGGATAAGACCGGTTTACATTCAGCTTTGCAGGAGGCGCGAGGTAAACGACTATGGGCCTCCTTATGCCTGAAGTTTCATATTATAACGTGTAGTATATCTTTTAAGATCAGTGTCGACTGCTCTCGGAGGCAAAGCAAAAAGCAGAAGGGCAAATGTACGATGTGCAACATGAACTGGACAAGCTGCAAGAGCAAATGAGGCGCCTCACGCAGAATGGGTTGATCGAAATTTCCCAGATTGAAGAGGCGCTGACGTTCTGGAGCCTAAGGAACCAGAAAGCCCAGACTGCAGACTTCATTTCACAGGCTGATGATCTTGCAGAGGTACATCAAACCTATGTTTGCTTCATGATTACCCCAATTTGAATACTTGAGCATTTAATAATAAATATATCTAGGACAAACGAGTGCTTCAAGACTTGCGATTGCAATATGCGAGATGCATCGAGGACCTGGAGAAAACCAGAAGATTACTGCAACTACAAGAGCATATCAACAAAGATTACAAGTTAGAGGTGGAGCACCTGCAGCAGAAGCTCCAAGCCACTCAAAATGAATATGGTATGCACAGTTGATCGAGAAAAACTGGGAGTATAAAGGGCACTCATGATATATTTCGCTCTATAGAACTTCGTCTAGAGGAGGATTCACGGCTTTTAGATCTACGTAGTAACAAGATTGCTAGTCTGGAAGCGCAGCTGAAAAATATTGCCTATGGAACAGCAAAATGTATGCACCTACCAAATTGTTGCACAATGTCTTGCATCGTTTCTGACCTGGTATTTTAGTACCGACTGCTGTTGAGAAAGCTACCGATGATGACGACGAGGTGGAACTAGAGAAAGGTATTCAATTTATGGTGTTTTGACATGTTTGGCATCAAACTCAAGTTCGTTGCGTCACTGTTAGGCCAAAACCTGATTGCTGTTCATGTCGATGCCGCCCTTATAAGCGAAGAAGGATTCAAGTTACTGCAGCAGCTTGGGCACGACAGTAGAGACGGCGAGAGCTTTGCTTCCTTTATTTACTTTGATTTCTACGATTTCGAGACTCAAGTCACTCCAATTGGCATTGGTCTCATGCCACATTACAATCTGACCTCCAGGTACCGTCTACAGTTTCGGTGGATTTTCAAGTAACATGCGGGTTCGTGCTAACTCATTCATAGATACAAAGTGTTCGTGGACGACTTCTTCCTCATGTACCTGCAAAGCCACCCTATGATTTTGCACCTCTGCCGGTCAGACGGACTTGATTACGTGGAGGTGGCCACCTGGTATGTTACAAAATTTTCCGAACATCAGCTCCTCTAGATGCGTCTTACTTACCGTTCCAAAGCGCGGTAATTTTCAAAGATCTGACGGATCCTCATCGTACCGATCGCTTGCAATATTATGGTCAACTTGTTAGCACGCACGATAATGTAGGCTTCCGTGGTTGCTTGATGGAAATCATTGGCATCTAACATTTCTCAGAAAACGGTCATTGGAAGTATTAATTACTCCTTACGAGTTCGAGTTCCTATGGTACAAGCCATAAGATCATTCAAGGAACGAACCGTCGCTTTGAACCTCTTGACGGTCGGGGACAAGGACGTCTCTGGGTAAGTCGCCGAGACTGCATACAGCGCACACCTGTGGGACTAAGAGTTCTACGTAATACAGTAAAAGGTTTACGCATCGAGCGGATATGAATGAGTTGATTGTCCGCATTGCCAATTGTTCAGGACTTACTGCACCACCAGGGAAGTCCCCAGCGGTATACCTTTCCTTCCAGTTACACAATCAGGATATGTCCTTGACGGTATGGTATCTCAGTCCGTCTTTTTTACGAAACCGGACCTGACGTGATGAACAGGACACTATCCAAGACACGTGCAATCCAGAATTCAATTTCTACCAAACCTTTCCGATGCCAATGAATCTGGATCTCGACAGAGTCCTACGGACTAGCACGGTGCGTGTTTGGCGTTTCGAGGAGAAAACATCTTTTTCATTACTTAGCAAATGACATTCCATCAGCTGGAAATAGTGGCGCTGGATGATAACGACGGTCTTGAAGACTACGTCTACGGCATAGCTAAAGTTCCACTTCTAAATTTGGCACTAAATGAAAATATTCAAGGGCAGTTTGACTTGAAGGTAACGACATTGACTCAAGGTCTATGCGCATCACTGAATACTTACACAACCTGCCATAGGATGCATCTGGCAAACGACGAGGAAAAGTCAGCGTGTCCTTAGCTTGGGAAAAGCCATACAGACTTGAAGTGATTCCTGTATGTTTGTAACGACCTGATTATGATCCGAGGTTACTTGCTAATCGCGTGCAAAGATCGTTTCTCAACTTGATGAGCCATCCGTTGCGGCCGAGTATAGTGGTAATGCGCCTGATCGAAGCCTCGTTGACACTGTCCCTCATGAACCTCAGAACCACCGGCAAAGTCAACAGAGCTCGGTACAATCTCCACGGTGAGTACTGCTAGTTGAAATCAATTGTTTGCAGTTCTCTGATGGAGAATTGGTTCACGATAGCCGACAGTCCCAAGAGGCATCCAACACATCTCTTGTATCAAAACCCTCCACATTCACAGTCAGTGATATGCCTCCCGGCTCCATTATGTCGTTGAGAGACGATGAAAACGTGTCCCCAAGCGCAAGTATAGATTCAACCGGGACAAGTGAACGTTCTGATCATCGCAGCCAAGCGAGCAGACGCAGAAGAAAAAAACGCAACTTGGAAGCGTCCAGCTTCGACGAGGGACCTAGCGAAAGTGCAACCAGCTCACGGCAACTTGGAAAGTCTCGCAGTGAAGAAGTGAAGTATACGATCCCAAGTGGGGAACAGTCGGGTGGAATTACCAGTCCTGGACAGTTGCACGGATCGGGCTCTAGACAACAAAGTAGCATATCTTCAGTATGGTCAGATGCTAATGATAGCGCGTCGGAGCACGCCCTGGAGCTTGCAACATCACCACGAAAAGTCTTGGAAGAGACTGGACAAGGTATCCTAGGGGATGGCCTTAATGACGAGCGGAGCAAACCTAGCGCAGAATCAGCAACCCTTGAAAGGCGCGAAACGGTCGGCTCCACGTACCCCACAACCCGCAGCGAATATGGCTTATCTTTAGAGCCACATCGCTCAGTGTCATCCCTTCAAATGCAAAGCACCGAACCTGTTAGCAATCCAGTATTTTCTTCTTCTCTGATGCTCATTTCGTGGATTGACCTTTTGGTTGCCTCTGTAGGATCGTGAAGAGGCCATCACCAAAGAGCGAGGCGGATCAGAAGGCATCACCATTGCCATTAGCGAGCTCAAACTGAACCTTACTACTCCAGATGTAGCAGCCTTATTACAGAACACGGAGAAGGTTTACATCAGCTTTGAGTTTTTAGACCAGAGACCGGACGATGAGGAGCTGGAGACGGACTCGGTGACCTTGGCTGATAGCGGCGTGGTGCAATTCTCATACTCTAAGTGTAAGTTTGCTTCCACATTTTGTCACGCTATTTGAAACCAGCACGTTAATATCTGTCTCTCAGTCTTCCCCTTCTCGGAAACCACAAATCCACGGGGACGGTTTCGCCTCCGTCGTGCTCTCAAGTCACCGGAAGAGACAGACCATTTGATCCAGTTCGTTGTAGTCAGCGAACCCCCCGGAGATACCGATGACGACGTCTCCCAAGATCTTGCATACGCAAGCGTCAGCCTGAAAGAGTTGATGTCATTAGAGGACGACGGTGCAATATTTGATCTCACGTTATTTGAAAGGTCTGGTAGTCTTGAGATGGGACACTTGACGGTCACGTTGGCTGGAGCACATACCATACACACAATACTGGAAAATGGATAAGGTCATACTTTTTAGTGTACTGTCGCAATTCTACAGTTTGGAGCAATGTGGCACTTCGATTTCTTCGTAAGCTCTGACGCGGATACGGCACAGTTTCTGTCACAAATGTGACTGACACACCGAGGAGGGTTGTGACTCACGCACCAGCATGTCATGAATTTTTTTTGGATGTCCATTTCTGCTGACCTTTGCTCCGCATTCACATAAGTCGTCCGCATCAGAAGTTGAGATTTCTTTCTCTGTGAGCACCCATTTTATCCATTTAGTGTCTCTTCAACATGGCAGTCCGTAAGTCGCATGGGTCCCTGATATGAGGTGGCGGGTCATTGTCCACCTTATTCCTAACCCATTCCTCTGGGGTAGGTGCGCAATTCGAAAATAGCAACGACATTGGGGTCTTCTCTCGCTTGACAAACTCATATGGCCTGGTAGCTATTGGCGGTTCCGAGAACTTTTACAGGTAGGGTGTCCTGAAATTTTCTCGGACTGTTTTGTTCGTCCTGACCATGATATTTTTACATAGTGTATTTGAGAGCGAGCTATCAGACGTCATTCCGGTGGTTCATACATCAATTGGTGGGACACGAATCATTGGCCGATTGACCGCTGGAAACCGCCATGGACTGTTATTGCCGAACACCACAACCGATCAAGAGCTTCAGCACATTCGAAACTCGTTACCGGATACAGTGGCTATTCAGCGTGTAGAAGAACGATTATCGGCGTTGGGGAATGTGATTGCATGCAATGATTACGTAGCATTAGTACATCCAGACGTGGACCGAGTAGGTGTCCCATCTGCCGTTTCGGAACACATCGGGCAGAATTAAATGACCATTACTCCCCTCACAGGAAACCGAGGAAATTATTGCCGATGTCCTGAAAGTTGAAGTATTTCGTCAAACTGTAGCGGGAAATGTGCTCGTTGGAAGCTACTGCGCGCTGAGCAACCAGGGTGGAATTGTTCACCCAAAGACGTCGGTAGAGGACCAGGATGAGCTGTCATCACTGCTCCAGATCCCTTTGGTGGCAGGTACGGTAAATCGAGGCTCAGATCTGATTGGAGCAGGCCTGGTGGTCAATGACTGGAGCGCGTTTGCTGGGTTGGACACCACAAGTACCGAACTTTCGGTTATAGAAAGTATTTTCAAGGTATGCTACAGGTACTTTGCTAATTTCCTCTGCGCGATATTGACACATCGTACCTATGTACCAGCTACAAGACGCCCAGCCAACATACATTGTCAACCAAATGCGGGATTCACTCATTGACAGGTTAGAAACTCGACCTCTTGCAGTATCATCTTGGGTGCACAGAATCTGACCGTCTTATGATCACAGCATGGCGTAATTATGGTTTGGCGAAGTTTAGTCTCCATACTATTTACAATGGTTCCACTCCTCGGCGGCCCAGGAGAGTGATAAAGCTTCTTATGCCCATCTGACGTAAGAGTTCGCCGCAGATCTTATGCGAGCTAATGGGATGGGACTGGCGTTCGATTAAACTTGTGGCACACCATAATACCTAGCGGTTCTTATAATATTATCGTCTGCTTCCACGTGGTTGCTCTCCCCTACTTCCTGGTGTAAATACCCGAGCTCTATGATGAAGTTGATCTGCTTTTCGTGAACGCTGTGCCTGGCGGCCACCAAAAGTCCGAGGCCATGATGAATATTGCACTGTCTCCACAGTTCTTTCAGCCAAAAGACCTGCTCGAATCTTGGCATCAATCCTGCGTCTCTTTTGGCTCTTCCGTCGACGGCCGGGTTTATGGTTGGTCGAGGTCTCAGGTTGACATGGAATAGTGATCACCCTTGTACTCCAAGCATCCTATCATGATATACAGATTATTCATGTGCTTCCCTCCCACACTACACTCTTAGTTTTTCTTACCCGTGACACATGTGACTCCTTTCGTATTTGTTCTGGGCTGATGATAACGTCTCGGAAGCATCGTCTGCGCTCAGCCTCAAGGTCACTAGTTGCGCGAATGTGGAAGTCTTTCATTACCAACGAAAATCAAATACCAGTTTCCTTTCAGCCCATACCTGTCTATTTCATACTCATGGGGTAGTCTTTCTGGAAGAATCTCTTGGGGATTTAAATTAATACGTGAGAGGGGAGTGGAAAAAAGTCGGAACCCTGTGAAGTAGTAACTGCATTGTCATTATCCCCTGATATAAATAGCAATGTCTGGTCGTGCTGATATAAACCCATACCTTCCCCAGGTCCTTCCTCTTCATTAACGTATATCTTAGTCCCTTCCTCCAGCCTGCTCACTCCCATTGGCTCCACCTCGAACAGTTCTGTAAGGTAACTCTCAAGTCGTTGTGCTGCCGCATCGTCAAGGGTATCCTCTCCTGGCAAAACTGGATACAGGATTGAGCGTACAGAGCTCGCGGTATTTGGTCCTACTGAACTACATGAAACCTCGCTGCATTTTACTGGGGACATCGTGCAAGAGTTGAATGTGCCCTCTTCTGCTTGTGCGGGAATGCTGACCCAACCCGACTTGTTGACACGGCAACCGATCGCTGCTTACGTAACGAGTAATTTGTCAACGGGAAATACAATTTGATGCCATAGTGCGGAGCCGATGGGTATTGGCACTAGCACCCGCACCAGGGATTGAACCGGCGACAACCAGTTCGGAAAAGGTAATCTAACTAATCTACGCTACGGCTGGAACACCCCTGCTGAACACTTTTGGTCTACCGTGTCCATCTAACATTGATTGCACGATCATCAGCATGTTGCAGGTGCTCAGCGTGTCCCTGTTCCAGTAGCGCATCGTCCAGGCTTGCTGACAGTTAGGGTTGGTACAACCCAGCAATCCATGGACTTTTTCAATCTTGCCTTCGCGACGGCGCCAAGGAAACACTTTGAAACACTTTGAAACACTTTGAAACACTCCAATGCATTGGGCAAACACTTCAATACGGCTTATTATATAGAATATTATAAGCCGGGTATATCATATTATTGTAACGACGAGGACGTCTTCGAGAGATCGCGAGTAAGCCCAAATCGGACGCGGGAAGCACGAATCGCGTGACCAACTCCACCGATTGGGTTACCGCGACCGAAAAAACCGGTTCGGAGAATGGCAATTGGCGCATTAGATTTCAGCGTGCCTCGTACAACCTGTGGAGGCCCGAGCCAGTGCGGAAAAGGAAGAGATCGGTACCGCCACCAATAAATCAGTTGCGGTGCAGCGACACCCATTAGTTTAGTTTAGTTTAACAGTTTATCCAAGAATCTTGTATAAAAAGGATGTATTCAATAAAATAAGTCGGGGGCAGAAGCCGTAGCGACAAAAAATCCCCATAACTCGCTTCTCAACTCCAATCTTAGGTTAACAGGAACCTAACAGAGCGCTTCAACGGCCTGATCACCCGTACCGAAGCCTCTAAATCCTGCTCGGTTCACAACTAACCGACTCTCCTTGCCTCTCGCCCTCAAGTCGCTACCGACGCCCAAAGAAAGGATTTGGAGACTACGATTCCTAGTACGGACACCCACACAACCTGCTAGGAGACCCAAGTTGTCTTTACTGTAGTCTACCAACAAAAAATCCGTTACATGGTGGAGAAGCGCGACGAACCGCCTTCCCCTCTCAAATTCAGCTGAAAACCTTATTCGGTCGTACCGAAACTCTTGCGCAAACCGAGATCCGCTCAGGTAGCTACTCGGAAACCTTTTCTCTCGTTTCGGAGACAGAACTTCACGAAACCGAGAATGATGCCGGTCGAACGCTCACCAACGCGAGGCCGCTCACCTGTGATCCAGACTCGTAGTCAGGGTCCTGCGGAGGACGTCGAAGTCCCTCCCGCAACACGCCCAAGGCGTTCAGGGACCACTTCCGTCGAACCGGAAGCCCCTAACTTGGCCACGATGGCCTCTGAAGTGGCAGCGTTAAAAGAAGACATTGCCCGCTCGACTGCTGCAACGCAGTTGGCAACTCAAAACCTTACGGAACAGCTTCATAGGCTTTCCGAACGTCAGACAGCGGCGGATGAGCGCCTCGCACGAGCCTTAGAAGCCCTAGCGCATCGCCCGCTGCCTGAACAACCTCCCATAGCACGAGCTACAAGAGAACGGTCCGCAACCCCGTGGGAAACGGCGGACACACCAAGGGAGCGTACCGAACCAAGTTTTTCAGGTGCGGTGCCTCCAATCCAAGTGCCAGCGGCCCCGTGGGCCAGCGACACCAAGGTCGATTCCTTGAAAGCAAAGGACGTACCCGAGTTTACGGGCAGAAGAAACCAAGACGTTGAAGAATGGCTTAACAAAGTCCAACTTCTTCAAAACGTTAGCGCAACGTCGGATGCCAGGATGGTACAGCTCCTACCAGCCATGATAGCCGAGAAAACCCCTGCTGACGCTTGGTTTTACACTCTGGAAGCCCAGGAAACTCGCTCATGGACCTGGAAAAGGTGGAAAGAGGAACTGCTTCGAGAGTTCCGAGATCCCCTAACCGAGTCCAAGCGCAAAACCGAATATGTGCGCTGCCATGCGAACCCCAAAGAATTTCGCAGCTTTCTCGCGTTCATCGACCACAAAACTCATCTCCGGCGCCTCGCTTATGGCGACCGGGCAAACATAGAATGTCCCGCTGACCAGCATTTCGACCTAATAGTCGAACAATTGCCCAGCGACATCCAAATCATGGTCAAATCCTGTAACGTCACGAACCTGACCAAATTAAAAGACTTCCTGCGCCTTTATTTCGGCTCTGATGACACCAGAAAACGAGACCCTTGCTACAGCGGTGCTGCAGAAGCTCAGAAGAAGTCACAAAAGACCGGAACCGACAAAGGCCCTAAGCAGACGGCTCCGCATAAAACCGGAAACCCCGAAAAGGGTCGCGATGGTCCTCAGAAGATGGTTCCGGACCCCAACAAGGAACCACCGGCACCCTGCAAATTCTGTCAGAAAAAGCATTGGAATGTTTTCTGCTGGCAGAACCCGAACCGAAAAGATCCTGAAGATGGAAAGAAAGGACCATATGGAGCACCCATGCCCTCAGGTTGGAAACCCAAACAGGAATCGAAGAAGGCGTACATAGTGGAGCTGGACTCGACGTCCGCTACCACCGAGACTCTTTTTTCGGCTTCGGAACTGGAAAGAACGGAAGCCGCTAATCAAGGATTCCACACCATCGGGTTCTTTCATTCACCCAAGCACTCGGAATCAACAATTTTGATGACCGCACCTCTTTCCAAGGTCACGGTGACCAAGGAAGAGGACCCCCGCACGCCCACGCAGGGCTGGGACCGAGTCTGGGACAACATAGCCATCATCTGGGGCACCCCGCAAGTGGCTCTGATGATGGGCAACAACCCCCGCGCGCTCAGCTTCTTCGCCAAAGAACCGAAGCGAGGCGCCGGGCACCTCGGGAACGACCCCTACGCAGTCGCGTGGAGTTCCCACCACCTCTACATCGCTGCCGCAGCCGAAGCTGACAAGGATCGAATCCTGCGAAAGGTCCGAGAAGACGGTACCCCTCGTTTGATTCTCCTTGCCTGGATAAAGCTCGACGAGCGCGAGAAATTCTTGATGTGGAGCTCTGAAGATCCTGTTATCTTTGATGCGTACGCCAACCTGCAACTGGTGGCATTTCTCCTGACAGGCAATATCGTTCGCTCAGACTATTATTATCGTCGCGGAAACCCCAAATTTCGGCACGTTAAAGACCATCCACGTCTCCAAAGACACGAAGAGAGCGAACGGACGCGTATAGTCATGCTGGCTATCGAACAAGTTGCTCGCCAGAATAAAACAACAAAACCACAAAACGACAAAACTAGAGAACACTTTGAGAGTGTGATCAAGGCTACGGAAGCAACAATTTACCGCCCGCCCCCCCTTTTGGGGGGGGGGGGGGGGTTTTTTAAAACCTCTCTTCTCTGGTGAGTGGGGGGGGGCGATAAAAAAAAAAAGCCAGACTAAGACCCACCCCGCGGGCGGGCTGGACGCTAGCCG